AAGCAAGTAGATCTTCCTCAAAATGGTTTAGACCATCATTTCAGTATGCCACTTACAACAAAACTTAGCATTTCTAATGACACCTTTCAGACTGGGTTATGATTTGCTTACACATATTTATGAATCTAACCTCATAATACCTTGGAGCAGATAAGCTTCTCTTTATGCTGCCAAGTACATTGGTTCACAAGCTGTGCTCTGCAGATGGCTGGCAATCCATAAATTCCAAGTAAGTGGCTGGTGCATTGTCCACTGAACTCTGTTAAGTCTTATTAATTGGTCAGTTAAAAATTAGATGATAAGGATTTGTGAGAATTAGCTGTGGCCTGCATATGTGGTTACTGAAGTATTCATTGAGAGCATACCAAAAGTAAGAGAAGTTAAGCAGTTTGCCCAAGATATAGAAAAAAGGAAAAAAAAATAATCATAGGATACCTCTGAAAGAGTTAGAAATAAAATCCAATCTCTAGATTATTGATCTGATATTTTGCCTAGAAAACCATTGGGTTATATTGTCATAGTGTTCTTCTATATAAGCATCTTGGTAACATTTGACTGATGATGACATTTGATCTGCATATTAGATATACTCACTTATGGTGCATCCTACATAGAGTCTGGTGAGTTATGAACATTGAATTTTCCCCTTGTACTCCATTGTTTCAATATCCATTGATTATGTTTGACTAATTATATTTGACAAAAAGCAAAAAAATCACCTCACAAAAAGCTGCATGTGCAGGGATCTCTGTCTTTTTACTAAAATAATGATTGAAGTCAGTTTCTTTTTAGAAAGCAATGTAAATGTATGTATTTCTACACTGTATATAGAAAAGGAGCATTGCTCTTGAAACAACTGTAATTTAGCTAGTCAGTGGCTGTTTATCCTTACTGTAGATAGAAACAAGACATTTTCCCTGGGCTTCCTGTCGCTCTTTTCCTTGAAGACATGCCTGTTACTGTGATTTTTAAAAGCAAATTATGTATTTGTGAAAGGCAGAAAGGAATGAACCTCAATATTTTCAGCCCCGTCTTTTCTTGCCTTTTCCAAGGGCACTTCATCCTGCATAAGGCATCCAAATCGGGGTCCATATATAAGGGCAAACTGAAGTGATGTGCAGAGGTCATGGCGTGCTGCTCTGCTTAAGTGAGAAAGGTGTTCAAATTAATTCTGTCAAAGAATGAGGTCCTCTAAGGCCATAAAGAGTAACATAGCTAAGTGTTTTGTTATTAAACACATACTTTTTCAGACATTTATTCTCAGCCCTGCTCTGTTTTAACCAGTTCCTTTTGGATCACGGAAACAGCTGAACATGAGACTTGAAAAGTACCTGGGTCTGGTGTAGAAAACTCTGCTTAATGATTAAACTTGCCTGTGCACATAAATAATCTTCATTTAAAGAGTGTAAAGGTGTGCTGTAAGCAGGGAAGCATAGAAAGCCATCCTTTTTTGTCCTTGGACTATATTCCAGCTGGGGACGTATCATATCCCAAGTTTTAGTAAGGAGCAGACATGTGAGACCACCTGACTATAGGTCTGATCGTTGTCCTGAGCTTAGATTTCCTCCTGGGCTTTCAAGTCTGTGCTGAGTCCTCTAGGAGATGGCCTGAGACTGCCTTTGGTGCGAACATCCTGATGAGTGTAGGAATCTGAAAAGGGGCTCATTCTACAAAAAAGCAAGTATGCAATATGCTAATGAAAATAGCCTTGTGCATTCTCACTTCAATTTTACTAAATAAGGACAAATTTTTATTGAGAGAAAACTCAGTGTGTTTTGCTGAAAGTGATGCTTGTTTAATATATCCATGTAATCATTTAAGAAGAGAACTTTGTCAAAATAAAGGTAAAATTTTTGCTGTCTTGGAAACAGAACATCGTAACATCAGCAAGTTCTGTTGGCATGTTTATTTGGATTGCCTCAATGTATGTACT